ATGGTCATTTTCACCTAACTTGAATTGAAAGTACATTAAGTAAAAGAGATTCTTTTCAAAATTAGTGTTGATCTGAAAGTGCCATAATAAGACAATTGTATAATTGGTGGTTGGATATATTAATACTTTGTCTTGAATGGTTGTATAAAACCTACATTTATTAATAAAACCTTTACTAGTCATCCATTTGCAGTCAAGTCAGCAATGTGATGATTTCATTTTTTAAAAGATGCTTTCAAAGTATTTCTAGACTGAGCTGGGAATAATGTAATTCTTTTATAACGCCACAAATGCTCTTAATTCTCTCATGCAGACCACAAACCTGGATCGTTTTTATCAAAGTATATGGTGACATTAAAATGAACGTTTTGAATCTTAATAAAATTAGTATATGGAAAAAAATAAGAAAATTTGAACTAATTACATAAATCAATTTTGTCTAAAGAACACTATCATTTTATTAAAAGAAGAATTGTGTATAGAAATCAAATACTTTTGAACTGTGTAATAAATTTTCAACCTAAACAAAATTTCTTCTTTTACAGTGTGAAAGCCTATAGAAAAAATGTTTTGGCAAAATGTGTATGTATCTAGCTATGTTTTTTTCTACCGTATTATATAGTTAATGAGTTTAAAATCAATGGGGTTATAAATTTGTTTTGATTTTAATTTTTATGTACCATGTATTTCATTTCCAAGTTTCATATTAAATGGGTAAATTTCTGCTTAACCATATTAGCATCATTTTAATTACATTTAAAAATGCTTCTCATTTTCTCTTTTCTTATGCAATGCCACATAAAAGAGAATTTTATATTACTACCATAAGTTTATATCAAGATTTATAGTTACTCTTTCTTACTGTTGGAAGAGTAGGAATTGAAATCTACCTTGCTACATTGATTTTTGAATTGCCTTTTTTAAAAGTAAAAATCTGTTATTGTGAAAACAAAATCCTTTTCATAAGTGTCTGGTGAAGTTTCTGACACAGATCTGCTTCTGAGAGTCTCTGTATTAGACTGTAGCTATGTAATATGCTTATATTAAATAATATAGATTTTTGTGGAGGGGTCAAATGAGGTCACAATGTTGATTATGGTTCTGGTGTTCCTTGGTGTAATTACGTAATCATTTCCTTTGAACCAATTTGGATTTCTTATTTTTCAGTATGGTGGTGATATCACTCGAAAAATGAAACTTTTAAAGAGGCAGACAGAAGGGAAAAAGAAACTGAGGAAGATTGGCAACATTGAAATTCCCAAAGATGCTTTTATAAAAGTTCTGAAAACCCAGCCTAATAAATGATTCATGGACAGCAGGGCTGTTTATCTTTTTCTTCCAATTTATATTGACAACAGAATGAAAGCTGAAATGCATATTACTTTTAGGGTCTTCAACTTTGACCTACTGGTAGAAAAGAGGTAGACTGTAGTCCATTGCCTAGTCTCTTTCATGTTCCAGTACTCAGTAGTAATCTTGACAGAATTCTTTGACCTATCTTTAATATAAAATTGAGATTATGTTACTACTACCTCCAGAGGTAGCTGTGAAATTAAAAGAGGTTAATATATTTTACATATTCAAGAGGGCATGTTAATACATTTAATCACAGTGAATTTAAACCTTCTTTTCTTCTTTTTGTTGTTGCTTTTTTTTTTTTTTTAAGCTTTTAGTGTTTTGAGACAGGATTTTGCCGTATAGCCCTGGATAGCCCAAGATACATTATATAGGCCAGATTGACCTCAAAATTGTGACAATCCTCCAGCCTTAGCCTTCCCATTGTTGGGATGACAGGCGTGGGCGGGCTACTTTGTCCAGTTTATGCATCATTTTTCTTAGATACTAAAAGGATCTCAAATCCCATCTAGTTCAGTTAAAAGCTTTCCAAAATCACCTTGTATCACAATTTTTAACTCAAACGCTGATATAAATGAAAATCAGTTATTAAGAAATAAAGAACATGTTATCAGACATTTGTTCTAGCTTTTCATGCTTATATATTTAATCAAGCATTTCTGAAACTCAATGGTTTATGTTCTACATCTAAGTTAAGCTTAGGGTGGCCTTGTCTTGTTTCTGACCTTCAGAATATATTCATGCAGAAGAAGAGACATTTGGTATTAGCACCAGCTGCTAATAAATTAGTAACTATTACTTAAATGTTAGCTCTAAAATGATAAAGCTAGTAAATTGTAGTAGAATATTTTAAGGTGTGTTACTTTGGTTTATGTTGCATTTATTTAACTCTGAACCTGTACCTTTGTAAAGTACCTGATGGTCTAATAAAGAACTGGCCAATAGCAAGGCAGGAGAAAGGATAGGCGGGGCTGGCAGACAGAGAGTATAAATAGAAGGAGAAATCTGGGAAGAGGAAACTAAGATGGAGAAGGAGCTAGAGTAGAGGAGGACTCAAGAGGCCAGCCACCCAGCTACACAGCAAGCCATGGAGTAAGAGTAAGATTTACAGAAGAGAATGAGAAAAGCCCAGAGGCAAAAGACAAATGGGTTAAATTAAGAAAAGCTGGCTAGAAACTAAGCCAAGCTAAGGCTGGGCATTTATAAGTAATAATAAGCCTCCTTGTGTGATTTATTTGGGAGCTGGGTCGCGACCCCCCCCTCAAAAAGCCAAAAAACAAACAGTAAATGGCTTAGTTTCATGTTCAGTCACAACAAACCAACATAAATATATTACTGCAAGAAAGAGTCTTCATTTTGGGTTTTATTTTCTGCCTTCTGTCTTGAGCATGACACGTCTTGTAAAAAAGTTATGAATCTTAGTATTTTGGTAGAATTTTAAGGCGTAGATTTAGTAGCTAGGTAGTCTTAGCTTACCTTACTATATAATCTCATACATTCCCCAGCTAAATTTGGTAGGCATAAAATACCAAATTCCCACAATAGTATTTTTAAAACGTGATACATTTGAAATTAAGACAATAGTTTAAAAAAAAAAGTTCAGTTCCTACATTATTGCTAAAGGACAGTCAAAAGTTGAAGAATGTATCTTAATTTACAATACTTGCAGTGTAACAACTGAGGGTTTTTTGGACTGTTTATTCCCCTTTAACCTATAACTCTAGAAATTAGCCTTACTTGTAATATGTAGAAAATGTTTTCTAGACTCTTTTTTAGCTAAATAAGCTTAACTCCTCTCCCATGGCCATTTCCCAGTGTTAAGCTGAGTTAAATAGTCCCCTGGGTTCTAATACCACATAAATGTGTACAGTTGTATGACTAAAAATTGTCAAATTAAGTTTGGCATGGGTTGGCCACTGTGCTGAGTTATAGAATATAACTTTGACACAACAGTAGGGGGTGAGATGTTGCCATTTAAATCCCTAGGTGACAGATGGAATTCTAGTAATGATTTCTTGCTCCTAAGATTTTTTTGCTTTGTATGAAATGTGAATAGGTTTGTAAGCTCTTTAATAGTACCCTATGTTGAGTTCAGAAGCTACAGTGGCTGGAGAAGTGCTGAGGAGCTTGAGGACTTGGCTGTACTAGAAAACATCAGAGCTAGAATGAATAAGATTCCTTTTAGGCCTTTGGAGCATGGAAGTACCAAATGATAATCAAACAGGCCATTAACATTTCACTCTGATGCTGTGCTGCCAGGGGTAGGAGGGAAGTATTAAGTAAACATGTTATTGCCAAACTCCTTAGTACAGGATGCTACTGATTGGTTAATTAAAATGCTAAGGACATAGGGATCCCCTTTGAGCATATGATGTTTCTACCTGGTATTTACACAGTGCACTGTGACTAAGATGTGTATTATGGAAGGACTGAGACAGGAGGGTGATACGGAGAGGAAGAACAAACACTACTAAGGCTAACTTGGTGGAGCTCCTGTCAGAATGTATGATGCTACCAGTTTTAATGTAAGCAAGGAGGCAGAACAGCCTAAGGGATTCAGAATTCAGCTTAATTTTAGTGTAATTCATAATATTTGTATGTTGTGCTTTTCAGAAGGCTATTTAAAACATGTATTTGAAGGTCAGAAGACAGATCATAATGCTATGAATCTGAAGAGGTTCCAGAATATGTAAGTGCTCTGGGCTCATGTGAAACCCCTTTTACAGGGCTTCATGGAATTTGTATAACACCTTTATATTCCCATGGTATCTTCCAAATATATTCTTTAAATTACTTTCTTTTTTTTTAAAGTTAAGGTTATTATAACCAAGCATTTTATTAGCAGTGCTGCAGAAGGAAATCAGTTTGGCTAAAAGTGGTAGTAATTTGATAGTTTGGTATTTTATAATTTTTTTAAAATTTTATAATCAATTTAATTTTATATATCAACCACGGATTCCTCTGTCTGCCCTCCTCCTGCCCCTCCGTCCTCCCCCCAAATCCCCCCCCCCCCCATTCCCACCTCCTCCAGGGCAAGGACTCCCCTGGGGATTCAGCTCAGCCTTATAGATTCAGTCTAGGCAGGTCCAGTCCCCTCCTCCCTTCACCTAGGCTGAGCAAAGTGTTCTAGCATAGGCCCCAGGCTCCAAAAACCCAGCTCATGCACTAAGGACAGTCCAGGTTCCACTGCCTGGGGGCCTCCCAAACAGTTCAAGCTAATCGACTATCTCACTTATCCAGAGGGCCTGATCCAGTTCCATGGGGGCTCCTCAGCTGTTAGGACCCCTGGGAATTAAAGCACCATTATTTTGTGAGTGTGTTAATGTTTTGCATGTATGTATGTATGTATGTATGTCTGTACCACTTGTGTGCCTGGTGTCCTTGGGGCCACAGAAGGGCATTGGAGGATCCCTTAGAACCTGAGCTACAGTTTGGGTATGTGTGTCACCATGTGGGTGCTGGGAATTGAACTCTGATCCTCTGCAAGAACAGTACGTGCTCCCAAATGGTGAGCCATCTCTCCAGCCTCCATTTTTTATTTCTTAGGTATTGTCTCTTCAGTTTCCTAATTACATGATGGCAAATCAGAAGCAAATCCATGTCATGGGTACCATGAACTGATTGAATCTCCCAGTGAATGTTACTTCACTTTTAGAAACAAAACTTGTTTTATTGTAAACTTTGAGTTAAAGATAGAAAACAATATTTTTATTTGCAGCTTAATTATACAAGTTTTTGCAATTTAAAAGTTTACAGTACTTATCTCTTTAGACATATATAAGGATGATTTATAAAATTTAACAATAATCAGAAAATGTTCTTCAAAAGGATTTCCTTTAATTTATAGCTAGGTATAAAGCTCATAGTTGCCAATATACTTCTTTATTAAGGGCACTGACCTAGGTCTTTAAATAAAAATAAGCATATCTGTAAAAAAGTACTACATAAGAAGGTGCATAAAAGCATGCACTTACAGATACTTTCTGAAAGGATGTAAACTACTTTGGGACAGTGTCATCTCTTTAGATTTCCTTGATTAATGAATAGCAGGACTACTGATGTCCAGATGCTACTGCGGAAAGATGACTAAGGCAACTACAGGCAGAAAGCATGTGTGATGCACAAAGAATAGACATTCCAAAAGTGAAGGCTTTTATGATATTGGAACAGGTTGGAGCGCCTTCTTGTAAATAAGTCAAAGAGATTGTCATACAGTACCTGATGTGTAGAATCTCTTAAAATGCAGACATTTCACTGCTTTGCTGTTTATAGGTAGCTATATAGCTTCTGTACTTTTTAACAGCCAACCAGTTTGGGGGTCGACTTAGTTCTAGGCCCTCGTGTAAAACACACATTCTAAATATGGAATGTTTAACACACACTGTTCTTTTCCTTTTCAATGTCTTTATATTTCCCCATTTTTATCATATTGCATAAGCTGAAATTCTAGTAAGAAAAGTTTCCTTTTCCAAGCAGAATTTTGCTGCAGTCTCCGTCAGTTTTCTTCTCTCATACTGTACAGTGGATCCACAAGTTTATTGTGCACATGCATTAAACCTTAAAGAAAACAAAACACAATTCTAGTTATATTTTTGTTAATTTTGAACTTTTACTTCAGATTTTACATGATATAATATTTGATTCTTATATAATTACAAGGTCTACTGAAACTGTTTAAGAAATACAATTTATAAATTAGTGTAGATCTAGAACAGCACAGCTATTTTGGAGTTCCAATGCAGCTTCAATTCTTATCTTGAGCATTAGAATGGCAGGCTGGTGAACTTGAATATGATTGGTTAATTCATTATCTAGAAGTTTATGTTTTGATTTTATGGCAATTGCTCTAGTTATGACAATCAAGGGACCCAGACTGTCATAAGATAGCTCTGTCTTCCAAAATACTACCCTATACATGTCACATGTGTTAACATGTTTGTGTATGTATATGGGTGCCAAAAGTCAATGTAGGGTGCTTGCCCTTTATCACCGCATCTCACTTTTAGAGAGGGTTTCTCATTGATTACAGAGATCATTACCTGGGAGGAATTGCTGCTCAGCAAGTTCCATAGATCTTGTATCTGACTCGCAGCCCTGGGATCACAGGCATGCACCATCATGCTTTACCTTTGAATAGGCACTGGGGGATCTGTACTAGGTTCTTCATGATTGCGAAGCTCTTTTCCAACTAAGCCATGTCCCAGCCTCTATATAGACTTTGAAATGTATTGACAAAACTGGTTGATTACAAGCTTGCCCCATAACCTACTGAGGTTTAACAACAATGCAGACATCTGTTTAAAATGATTTGGGATGGAAACCTAGGGATTTTAAATTTAAGTAGACTTTAGTAATCATTTCATAGTTAGTATGCATTCTTTAGAGTGGAAATAAAAATTTAAATGTAAGTACATTTAAAATTTTATTTTCTAATGGGTATGCGTGTTAGTGAATCATATTAAAGCTCTTCCAGTTACATCTCTTACAAGATTGTCTTTGACAGAATCAGTGAACTAAACAAACAGTTTTATAGTTTGGAAGGCAAAGAAGTTAAATTTTCCAGGTCATTCAAACTTACAAAAAAACTGTGGGGAAGGTATTTAGTTTCTTCAGAAATTGGGTATTGTATTTGAGAGAAAGGTGTTAGAAGTTTACATTCCTTATTTGAGAGGCCTCAAAAGGCACTCAGATCCACACAGTGAGGAAGACCACTTTCAGGGGACTAGCAAACAGCACTGGAAAGTGGTCCAGTAAGAGAAAAGCCGGTAGAGGCATCTTCAAATAAAGGAAGGAATAAGCATTCCATTTTCTGGAGCAACTGAAAATGAGAAGGCTGAGTTCTCTCACAGCTCGTTTAAGATTTAATCAGCACCTCAACCATCACAAGGCCCAATAAATAGAGGAGACATCAAAGTAAAGGTACCTTCAGCTATGTGATTTACATGCACTGTTTTGTAGATGATCACGTAGAACAGTGGTTCTCAACTTTCCTAATGCTGTGGCCCTTCAATACAGTTCAAGCTGTGGTGACCAACCATGAAATGATTTTCATTGTTACTTCATTACTGTAAGTTTGCTAGTGTTATGGACTGTAAATATTTTTAGAGATAGAGTCTGTGACCCACAGGCTGCAAACTTCTGATCTAGCATCCTACTTGATACAATGCTGTCATTTGCTAGCAACATTAAAGCTTTAAAATACACGTGGGATATTAAGCAGTAAAGCTGTTTAAAATTATACAGTGTATATAGCTTTTATACATAAGATAACTTGCTTCTAAACAAAATATCTTAGGTGTTTACCAGGTAAAAACTACTTTAAAAAGAGTGTAAATAATTGGTATGTAAGTCATAAAGAGAAACAAGAAAGTATCTCTTCTGATGAAAATGCACTGGTTTCCTGGCATTTCTTATAAAGATGCTACAATGATACAGGTTCTAAATCCCAGTTTTTAACTGAGTATCTTATAATCTGGGATCTACCTGAACTCTACCTCTGAAGTCACTGCCGGCAAGCAATGAAACGAACCTTGTTTAAATGGCAGCAGCATTCTGAATGTACACTAATACAGAGCGAAGTTCCATTTTAAAGGAAAAAACAGCTAGGATGAATGGAACGAATTCTCAAGTATCCAATCTCATCTTTAGAGAGGTGAAGTAAGTTTCCATTTACTAACAATTATCACTGTTATATATCTCATTAACCTAGATCTCTAGAATAGAACTTTTAAAAAGATTCTTGTAACCAAAAGAAAGGGTACTAATATAAATGGAATTTCAAATATTATACATAATTACACAGATTATTCTGTGTAGATTATATCTCATCAGTGTTTCATGTGACACTGAAGTGATCAGATGCCTAATATGTGAAAGTATATTTGAAATATGCATATAATCATGCAATGTACTCTCTACTAATATGCTTTCCTGCAAGAAAAGGTGATATACACTCAGGCTTTTATCAATTTCATTTTTTTGGATAACTGATGGTATCCTAAAATCTCTTCTGAATATTTATAACTCCAAGACAGAAAATACAGCATCCTCTTCAGGCCATAGAGCAATCCTCACATGAACGGTATGCTCTTCAAAATGTCTTCCAAGAGCTAAGATTTTGGATAATATCTAACAGTTACTTCCTTTCCAGCTTAAGTTATCTAACATTTTAATTAGAGACAATGATCATAGTATAGGTAAACAGGTATGATTTTGTTATAGATGCCACACAGGTCGATAAAGCCCAAACTCCAGAGGAGCTTTACTTCAGTTTTCTACTCTGCCCATAGGATCTCTAGGACTGGTAAGTGATCTGTCTTCTTAAATACAAGGTAAAGAGAACTTACTGCATAGCACTGTTGTGAGGAGTAAGTAGTTCAGTCAGGGAGATGCATTTAGAATACTGCCTGGCTATACAAGTTTGGACTCTTATTAAACAAATTATGAAAAAAAATCTAACAAAACACTAATCGTGACAAATAGACTAGCATACCTTTAATTCAGGAATGCTGGCACTGGACAATAAATATGTTAGATATTTTAAAAGTGGTGTTAAATCTTCTGGATGACGGCTTATATTAACTTCAAGGAATCTAACACTTTTGATACAAAGTGGACTCCATGGAAATACATGGGTAAACTCATAGCTTTGCTTCAGAACTCATCACCAAAGGCATTCTGCTTCTATTTGTCAAATTATATTGAAGGTACCATTGTTTTAAGATTAATTTACAAGAATTGTTTAATTGTGAAACATGTACTTAGCTATGTATCTTCATTAAAATGTTCTCCATAAATACTTAGTGAATGAAGAGCAACAGAGAACATAGAAGCAAATAACACAAAACCACATATAGAGTATGGTCAAACTCCAAGATTATTTTCAGGGCTTACTCAACTTAAGTCATCTGTATACCACCTCTAAGGATTTTCCCATGCACAAACATTTACATGAACTCTAACTTACTGATTTCCTCTAGCTGAATTACAGGGTTTAAGTTTATATAGTTCCTAATAGAACTGCTATATGTTGAAAGCATATTTTAAGTGCCATCAGGAACAAAAAGATACCAGATAAGCAATGCCACCCATTTTAAGACAGATCTCATCCCAATTTCAGTCAAGTCATAGAGTGAGTAAAATATAGCAACTTTGTTAACCTTTCTTTCAACAGTATTTATGAAATATAGGTTCAGTTTGTCATTACATTTTTCAACACTTGTTAATCAAAGTTACAATAAAAATGTATATTCACTCATGTCCTAGAATTGTCATATATACTATACATTCTGAGCCATGACTTAAATTAATATTCAGTACCCAACACAACTACTCTAAACAAGACCTCGATGCTTTATGCACTTGAGCTTGCCTTCACCCATAATCAGAAAACACTAAGCTTAGTGTAGTGTAAATGCTCTCTGAAGCCTCCTAAAGTGTCCATTACGTCACGAGTATTTTCTATACAAAGCCCAGTGCAAATAAGATTTGAAAATAACCAGACTACAGGAAAAAGGCAAAGGAAAATCAACATGCAGAAGTCTAAGCAGTCAAACTGCTGCTTTGCTATCATTTCACACTGTTTGAAAGTGTACCCATTATAATACCAACTGTAACATCCTGGAGTGGTTTGCCTGACATCGGGAAGCTTAGGTGGGATAGTGGGTGATGCATTTCAACCATGGATAAGGTTATAGAAGAAGGATGAGGCAGAATGCCCAAATGTTACCAAACAAATGAAAAGACCCAGGAAGGACACTACTGAGTCATTTAATCTTGTATATTCAATATGAAACTAAAATACTTCATTGAATTTTGGATTTCAAAGAAAAAAAAAATGTCCTGAGAGCTCTGAAAACTATTATCTGAGTTTTATTCCTTGAAAAACCTGGTTGGTGTGTTAGCACAATGTGAGTTTTCAACAGGCCAAACTGTAAGATTACCATCCACAGTTATTCAATTCTGCCATCCACTACCAGCATCTCAAACGCATACTAATTCAATGCTCACCTTTAAAGTATTTCACAGTTTTCACTCTTAATTCTAAAGTAGCATCTTCATCACACACAAAAATCGTTCGAGGATGCTGTTGAAAAGCTGAAACAGTCCACATGTGATTGATCCCTTCCTCGATGGCTTTGTACAGGGCAAATGCCTTGTGTGCACCTGTTATGAGGATCATCACCTGCAGAATCAAGAGTATCACTTGTCAATTAAAAGTGAGTAGGAAGCTCTATGGTAACACATAAGTGAAGACCAGAGTTAATACTTTAGTACTGATATGTAAAAGACAAGCCTGGGAAAGTAAAGAGAAGGGCTTCCTGGGTTTAAAAAAAAAAAAACCCGGGTGGTGGTGGCACATGCCTTTAATCCCAGAACTGGGGAGGCAGAGCTAGGTGGATCTCTGTGAGTTCGAGGCCAGCCTGGGCTACCAAGTGAGTTCCGGGAAAGGCGCAAGGCTACACAGAGAAACCCTGTCTCAAAAAACCAAAAAAAAAAAAAAAAAAAAAAAAAAAGTATCTTTAATGAATTTCTGTAATCTGGGCTAATACCCCAAATCTCTCTAGTCCAATTAAGAAATATGTCCTATGTTAGAAAAGAAAGTCCCTCCACAACAGCTGTTTAAAAGATAGCTAGAGAAGCCTGGACTTTCACCTAATGGGTATCATCATTTCTAAAGTTGTTCCAAACACAAGCTACTGAATTTTAAGAATTTGAGATCTCCTGAAACAAGGCACTGATTTTGAAGCACGTGAGTGAGATATTCTTGGAAATTACAGAAATTGCAAGTTCCTGTCTTTCAAATTCCTCACCATTTGTGAAATAATTCAAGAAACATGCCAGTGTGTGTCAGAAAGGATCTTACAACCTTTCAGCTACCCTTCCACAACTGCGAATACGTACCTACATTAACACAGTGTTAAGAGTTTATTGTTCTCTTTTTAATTAGTATTAACCATAAATCATAATAGGTTTTAATATGATATTTTCATAAATGCACATACTTATCATTTCCACTCTTAACTTTCCTTCCTTGTCCACTCTGGCATAACTGATCCCCTTCCTCTTCCCAAATAGTCTTCCTTCCTTAAATCTTGATCATATGAGAACATGAATTATTTATCTTTCTCAGTTTGGATTATTTATTTTTTTCTCATTACAATTATTAAAAAATTAAAATGACTGCAGTTCTAAACTACTTAAAATAAAAATTTATATTATGTATGCATATTTTATGACTAGGTATTCTAAAGTATAGAAAATAAAAGAGAATGGAGCAAGGTATTATATTTCTTTTTAAAATCCTAATTCAAATTGATTTTCATTTTGAAATTGAATCTTAACTAAAGCTGAATGTATCACCTTAATTAAAACCATCTGTCTTTTAAAACAAAAATTAACTAGTTTGATGTAAGGTAACCAAAAAAAAAAAAATCAATGAATATGTAAATTAATTTTCCTTGCTGGACATTGTTAGCCAGAGTACTGTCTTAAGAATGAAGTATTTATTACAGAAACAACCACATGAAATGTGTGTGTACCACATGCACAAAGACACACATTACTGGCTGTTTCAGGTCTTCTCTAATATTTGGAGCGCTGGTGCAGTAATGAAAGTCCCTTAGGTCATTAGCATATCAACAATCTCACAGGAAGTCCTTAGAAGGCAGCTGAATCTCTACAATGCTTCTTTAAAAAATATTAAATGGCTTTTTACTTATTTGTGTGTGTGCACACAGCCATCAATCAGCTCTGTCCTTTTAGTATGTGGGCCTCAGGGATTGAACTGTGGGAAACCAATACAGTCAGTCCTCCTAAGTATAAACATGAAGCACTTTATATTAATCAATCCTGTGTGCTCCAACACTATGTAAGATATTCGCTCTGCACCTCTGTCCCACCTGCCCTTCACAAGACTATTCAAATGGGTGGCTCCTGGTTCATAACTGCAGACTTAAGTTGATTCTTAGCAAGTCAATGAGAATGACAAGCGTTAAATGATGTAAACTAAGCATTTTTACTGAAAATCAGATGAATCTAAAATATTTAGCGCCATAATTATTCAACATCAAAGAAAAATGATCAAAGAATATTTCTTACCTCCCTAGCATCCATCACTGTCCCCACACCAACAGTTAGAGCCATGGTTGGCACTTTTGATAAGTCTCCATCAAAATATTTAGCATTTGCCAAAATGGTGTCCATAGCTAAAGTCTTTAATCTTGTTCTTGATACTAAACTGGATCCTGGCTCATTGAAAGCAATATGACCATCTGGACCTATTCCTTTCAAAAACAGAGAGGCTCACTCATATAAACATGAAATAAGCAAGGTTTCCAACATATAGTAAACATTTTTCTCAAATGTCAACTAGTTATGAAGGCAAAGAAATAACCATAAACACACTTACCTTAGTTTAGAGCTGAACTCCTAATACTGAATTAAATATTGTTTCCATATTTCATTTAATACACAGCATGAGATGACATAGTTTTAGCAATAGCAGGGAAGCATCACATTTATCAACTAACACTATAGGCTTATAAGGCTTTTTCACAACAGATAATAGTAGGTAATTTTGTGATCCAGTAAGATTAAACATGGCTACTTCCCTAAATGCCACCTCGTTGCTAACACATAAACTGATGTGCAAGAAAAATAAATGGGCCTTCAGGACCACAGTTTAGGAAACACCAAGATCCACTCCTGTCTTAGCCTTCTGACTACTGACTCAGTGGTCTTTATCCTCTCACTCTGCTTCGTTTAGTTCCCGTTTAGGTGAGGCCATAACCACTGCACACTTTTAGTTCTGTTCCCTCATAAAATAATGTATAGATTATAGAAGGTAATACCTTGAATACCAGTTTCTCAAGCTTTTTGATTTTTCACTATAATCTAACACACACACACACACACACACACACACACACACACACACACACACACACAAGGTCTTGTGTGGCAGCTCACAAGGTCTTTTCTGTTACACTCCATTTCCTTAATAGTACAAGAAGGGAATGCTGGATATTACTGGCTTTACTGATTTCATGACATACAGGTAACAACCACAGTGACCTATACACATCTGCTATATTCTAAGATGGCTCCTAAAATATAGAAAAGAATGTAGTATTCCTTATTTGAAGACAATTGGAGATAATTCCCTCCATAAAATCAAAAGCTTTAAAAATCAAATTTATAATACATTTATATTAGTTGTCAGACTTACAGCAACTTCAATAAAAACAAGTAATTCAAATATCTGTTACATTTATACTCCATGTTTACTTTAATGAGACAACAGCTATATAACTAATACTTGCTACACAAGCCATGAAAATATAGCAAGCTATAATCTAGTTTCAAAGGATTAAGAAAAATGAATATAGTATGAAGCAAAATGTTCTAAAGACAACAATTAGCAATGACTAATGTGTGAAAGTACATTTTAAATAAGGACTTACATACGGTTAATATTCAAGGATTGTTTCCACTCCTAAGTACAGACCTGTTTCTAGTATGTTTTCATCACACTTAAACCTTTCTTGCTATGTTTTCCAAATCACTGTTTTACTCTTGGGGATATAAACACACTATTGTATATACACTTTATATAAGCACAGAAGAAAGGATAAAGGTAGGAACATAAAAGCTTCAGAAAACAAATCAGAAGTCTGCAAAGACTGGTGTTAATGTTCTTAGTGGTGGCCTGGGCCTGACTGAGAAGCATACAGCTGACCTGAGATTCTGGTCAAGGGTACTGACAGAGAAGGAGCACCACATTTGCTTCCTACCACAACTAGCACAGAGCCTGTGATTCTGTAATGTTTTTAAGTTCAGCTAACTCTTTTGGCCTTTAAATCTAAATTAGGATATCAGCATCGTCTCAAGAACTCACTGGTGGGATTATGATATAGATCCTTCCTGTGTTCCTATAGTTCTGTGGGTAGTTTACAAGCTTCCTTTGAGTAAGGCTTTTGTGTGCCTCTATCTACCACTCAGAACCAAGCATTACACACATAAAGCATTCAGTAAATCACAGCTGACTGAATTAATGCATGATACTTTTCCTTTGGTTGGCTCAACAGTTTCTCCCAGCTACACCTCCTCTGCTCCACTCCTCACTATAGGTTGAGGGGTGGGGGAGTAGGGGGTGGGTCTCAAAAGTAGTTCCTTATGTCCCTGTCATGCTGAATGAAGGTGGCCTACAGAAAAGGACTCCAAGCTGAAGCAATGGAACTCACTCTCTAGAGCTGCTTTTTACCTGGTGAATAGAAACAAAGGAAACACACACAAGGGACTAACTGACAGCTGCCAGTTAATGAGCTCTTGCTTCCGAGAACTGAGGTTCTTTGGCTCTTTCCAATCAGTATTTGATCCCTTCCCTAGGCTTTGTGAATTATAGCAGAATCACTCCAATTAACACACTACTAGTCCCCTTCCACTAATTATCCTATTACTAAACCAAAACTTCAATGATTAAAAAATGTGGACATTTTCCCCACTGTCTTTTTAAAATTCTAAATATATCAAAATTTTAGGAAGTTACTACAGTTAGGTTTCATGTACAAAATCCCACTGTTTGTACCTTACTGCTGAGTCTTCCTTAGAAACTCAGGATACACTTTACCTTTCTCACAATTTCTGCCCTCAGAGAAGAAAGAAGGCTCTCAGAGTAATTATTTCGTCCTTTCTCTTCTCTACCAAGGGAAATAGCCCACCTAATCCCCCGGGGCGAATAGCAGCAAATTCAGATTCTTGGGCTCTTCTGAAGGTCCTACCTAGTCCAGGTCACAGTAGAGGGAAAACAACACTGGCTTCAAGCCCAACCTACAGTCTCTAGTCCAACTTTACCTTTAATAAAGCTGACATTTTGATCCCATTTGGCAGTTCTTAGTGTTTTTATTAACCAAACCCTGGAACAAAAGAAGGGTAAGTGGTAAGACCCAGATACCAAGCCTCGTCTTACAAATTCCAAAGATAATTACCTAGATCAAGAAACTCAAAGAATCCAATGAGATTCTCTCACGAGCAAGTAGGTATTCAACAGCTACTCCAAACAGGAAAGAAGGCATATGCTAATTCCTCTCTCTGTGCGCAGAAATCACATTCTCTAGATGGTACATATAAAGCGTCAGGCCCTGGATCATCAGACTCCAGTGAAGATGTTAATGAGAAAGGTAAAGGATTTTCTTAAAAATGTTTTCTGTTTTGGGAGGTAGTAAAGAAATAACTATAGGAAGCTTAAGATAAAAATGGATAAAAACCAAGTGACAAAGCATAATTATAACTAATATTCCATTTACTTAGAAGGGAGGTGTTTATTATTTTGAGGAAACAGACCAAAAACATAAGTGAAAAAGAAATGAGAAATGACTTATAGCAATGGGAAATGAGTTTCCACCAGAAATATTGGATGAGAGAGTTGCAACCTTAAAAAAATCTACAAAACTTAGAATGCTTTCTCAAAGGCAGACAAGAGGACAGTAGAGTCCTCATCCCCTGTCCAGTAAGTTCTTTTTCCTTGCACTCAATCTAGGAGGGATTTGTCATATGGATCCTTCTGTAAAGTCAACAGATTAACAGGAAAAAACAAATGTCTACAAATGAAAACATTTTTAAACAGCCATTTTAATTTTTAATCTCTAACATCCAGCATCTATTTCCAACATAACAGTAAATTACTGAAAATGTTTCTTGAAAAAGAAAAAAAAAAACTAAGATAATCCATTTAGGAATAGTCCAGCAACTTTATTTTGATATAGAAATCACAAAAAAAAGTTTAAACATTCCCAAACATCTAGCATCTCAGCCTTAATACTGACAGATATGGTAATTATCTCAAAATTGAACCATATGCACAAAGCTAGAAGGTGAAAGTACTCTATAGGATTACTAAAGTGAATATTAGCAAGATTCACTTAAAATGGATGACATTCTATTTAAAACACAAAACAGTAAACATTTATCTTTGATCAGATAAATAGCGATTCTATCTACACAAGAAAATGAACAGCACTGGATTGGATACACATAGATAAAAATTTCCACAGAGAAGAGTTCAGTCTCAATTGGTCATCCATAAAAGTAATTCAGTAAAAACCTCAGGGAATTTAATGAACTCAGGGACAACACTACCTTAGCCTCTACAGCTCATGGAAGACAACACTCAAGTGGCCCTGAGTCAGCTGTGTGCCAAGCTCCACTCTTACAGCCTTTGAAACATGTTATAATACATTGAATTTTCACAACTCTTGAGCAAGTTAGAATTAATCCTGTCTTGCACATGGTCTAGTTACAATGAACTTCATTAAACTGACCAGGCATACAGAGACTGGAGATGCAAATAGATTTTACTGTAAATCCCACCACCAACCAACCACTGCAATCATACTCAACCACTTCAACCATGAATCCACCTCAATATAACCCTGGTGCAACTTTCTCATTAATTAGGTATAACATAAATAAAGGCAGTTTAGAGCACTGGTATTTTAGTTGAATACTAAAGATTGGCATAAAAATGGTTTTGGCTTTAGTGTAGTTGGCTTATATTTTTCTGATGCGACAGCTTTCTCAAGCTGTTTTATTCTGGGTAATAGAGAGCCATAGCTATTACGAAGGAACGAACTCCTAGTTTTGGTACATTTATGCACACATACACACACATAAATAGATACTTTTAGTTTATAAGTAGAATTTGGTTCACCAAACATTCATTCCCTTTGGAATGTATTAAGGCATTTGGAGAATTTAACTCATCTAAAGACTGGTGATACAAGTCTTACAACTCTTAACTGATCTCAGCATAACTGGAGTTATCTGATAAAAATCTACCCATCTCTCATATACTCAGCTCTAATCTGTTAAGTAGCCTCTGCTAGAGGTAGAGAGAAATAATCAAACATAGGCTTTCATTCAGGGCAATGACCCAGCAGCGCATTTCCAGGATGTGGTGAACTATTGACGTTAGAGCTAATCAAAAGAGTTTAACAGGGATGAGAACATATTTCTCAAGTCATAATTTAAACAAATGTGTTAACTGTTGCAATTTTAAGTTTATTTTTACTTAATCTGTACTTTATGTTTTTAAATGAAAATGAAGTAAAATTGGAATTATTCTATTTCTATTATTGGATATTAACAGTTAATAGCAGGTGTTTTTTGCATTATGCAATGGTGACATTTTTTTAAACACTATTAGCAGACAAATGATTGATAACAATGCCTTTTTTCATACCTCCAACAAAAAGATCTATTCCTCCAGCTTCTTTGATTTTCTCCTCAAATGCATCACATTCTGCCTGCAAATCTTCAGCGTTCCCATCAAGGATGTAAGCATTATTAGGATCTATATCAACATGCTTAAAAAAGTTATTCCACATATAAGAATGGTAGCTTTCAGGATGATTTCGTGGCAGTCCTAAATATGAAGTTAATAATAAAAATATAACTATTTCCTAGAAAAAAGTTTTTTCTATACTACATCAGTTTTAAAATGTTTGGCATAAAACATATGCTTGATGTATACCTGTGTCACTTTAAATATCTACACTAACACAATTAATTTGTAAACATACATGAAAATACTATTGTCATTCTCATTTCATAGATGAGTACATGAAACACAGACTGTTCCCCCAAATCATCAGCTGGTAGAGGGGTTGCAATGCAAACATGGGAAGCCTAGTTCATGTACTTAGTCACTATACGCTTCTGAAACATGCACAAAAAATGTTACCCAATGTTACTGATTTTTGTATTTTTAACAGGTTTTTTGTGATTACAATTACATAATGTCTCTTTTCCCTTTCCTTCCTCCAAAACCTTCCATATACTCTGCCTCACTCTTTTAAATTCGTGGCCTCTTTTTCTTTAACTGTTGTTGTGTGTGTGTGTATGTGTGTACATTTATATATTCCTAAATATATAATGACAACCTGCTTAGTGCATATATAATGTTGCTTGTATACATGTTTTCAGAGCTGACCACTGGTATTGAATAATTAATTGATATTAGAAGATACCTTGCCTAGGGAAGACTATTTCTCCCAGCATCCCATACTTGCCTGTAGTTCTTTGTCTAGGGTTAAGGCCTCTTGAGTGTCCACTTTCCATATTAGCATGTATATTCATGACATCTTTGTTAAGGTCATGTTGAGGCTGCTAGGCTGGTGAGACTTCAAGGGTGTAAGTTACACCCATAATTATATATTTTTAAAGAATTAACTAGTGGCCACCTTTCCCTTGCATTCATCCTACATCTTTGCAAAGAACGCTGAGCCATAATAGTTATTTGGGTATCGCTTACACAGACATTGAAAATGTACTCTTATATTTATGCTTTAACAAAAGGTTTCTAAGCATCATCATAGACCCTTTCAGTTAAGCAAGGCAACAAATTACACAAGTTTTGTGGGTGCTAGCACAAACAATGAATTTGTACCAAAAAAAAAAAAAAAAAAAAGCTAAATCGATTACCTTTACATATGTTTCACTTAATTTTCTATAATTTTAATTATACCTTAAAGAAGGAAGCAGCAGCAGAAGAAGAAGAGATGGACAGGGAAAAGAGAAAAGGAGGGGGGAGAGAGAATGGATATGAATGACTTGTGAGTGGAGTGATGCGCAAAGTTACATCATAGGTAAATGGCAGAATGAATGCATATTCAGTCAGATTCCCAGTCTTATATTCCTTCCATTATACTATGCTATAACCAATTTCACCAACAAAGCAGTACACAAAGGAGTCTAGATATGACATATTCTAAAGTTTCATGATATTCAAAATGTAATACATAATCTATTCAAATAGCAGATTCATATGTATCTTACCTACATATTCATCCATGTTAAAAGTCTTCACATATTTAAATGAAAGGTTCCCACTCTTGTGGTACTCTATTAGTTTTTTATAACATCCTAAAGGTGTGCTCCCTAAAAGAGAGAAAGGGTCCATTTTCTGAAATAACTTGAAATCTATTTTAAAAATATTTATCCTTAAATTCTTATGTGTAACAGTCTATATTTCAAAATAGGCAAACAACTTAAATACAGATTTAATGTTCATGATAGCTTGTTTCTTTCCATGATACATTGAAATTTCATTAAACCATAATTTGGTTAGTAAAGCTGGAAACTCATACACAAAAATGGAAGTTGGAAAGCTACTCTGAAGTGTTCTCAGTACTTGGAATTGCTGTTGCAAATTATAAGACTAAAACTGTTTAGAATGAACACTGGGTGAAAAGAAAAGTGAACACTATACTTGCTGGGAAAAAAAAAAAACTGAGTTGTAGCATGAGTGACACAGAGATAGACTGGAGAGAACATCTGGCAACTTGTGCTTCTGTTTCTGTTTTTCATTTAGCTTTAGCATGTATCGCTGAAAAGGTTTAGCTGAGAAAGAAAAGCATCATACCTTTAAAACGGAGAGGCCTTCCAGGACAGCCTCAGAGCAAACACGCCATGTTATAAGGAGATTGTTTTATTTGAGTGTACTATAAAATTTTTGATTAGTTTAGCAGGCTACTTTGTGCTTCATGACATGACACAATAAAGATAAGTTTATCAGCTTATGGAGGACCTCCCCCTTTTGTTAATTAAATTTGCTTTTCTATTTTTCATTATAAATCCCAAGGAAAAAGGCACCCTTATTAACATGTGACCTGACCTTCTCAGTCCTGGGTGGAATGTGATAATGCATTATCACAAAACAAAAGAAAAAAAACACCACAGAAGTCAGTATTTCTGGAGTAGTGGTTAGACTTAAGTAGAATTTAGACATCTGCTAGATTAAAAAAAAAATCTCTGGCTGACTCAAGTAAGGGGGTGGGGCTTCAGGAATAGTGCCTGCCCCTCGCAGAATATTGAGAAGACAGAACAACAGGTGGCTGTAAATCATGTGGACGAACATAATAAATATCACATAGGTGCAGAGAACAGATGAATACTGGACTTTAAGGCTAAGCATATTTTAACTTATAAGTAATGATACAAAGCCAAACCATATGATTAAATCTCACAGTCCATACTCAAAGATCTATAGCCCACTAACACGAAAAGTATCTTAAAGGTAGATACGTATGCTTCTCTTTTTTCTAGAAGCACATGAATCTTCTACTGTTAGGAAGCCAGGAGTCCCTCAATCTAAGGTGAGGCCCTGCCACAATGTCGGTGATAAAGAACACATTTACTTTCTGACCGTTAATCAATGTAGTTAAAGAAAGAAGTGAGAGAGATGGTAAGAGAAAATCTGTGACAGAAATGTCATGATTTGCTTTGGGATGGTCACTTAACTCCCTAAGTAATGCGTAACAGGTGTCTTCTGTGATTCAAAGCTTGTTGGGGCTTTTTCTGTTCGAGAAGAACTTACGATACAAAGTACAAAACCGTGAGGTAAAGAAAAACCTCAGGGAATTCTAAGGTATGGCAATGAAGAATAAAAGGCTACAATCTTGCTTGCTAAAAAATGATCTAAGAGATCATTCCAATTGAGTCATGAAGGGCTGAAATCCTGACAACCACACAGCAATCTGTAATTTAAGACAGACAAGAGATGGCGAAAAAGGTCCAAAGATAGTATCTATGTGCCCGGCCCATGGCTACAGGCTATGCAGGTGTTTCCTCATGTAAATCTCAAATCCTGGAAAACTGGCAGGATCTTTCTTATTGGAAATGTAAGAACCGGATTGAAGAGATGAATGCATTTGCCAAGAAACCAATGGCAGTGAAGCCAGGGATTTAAAACCAGGTATGCTTTCTCTAAAACATACACAGATGGAAGAGGGCAGCAATATGGGTGAAAAGAAAGCAAGCCAGAAAGTTCAGCCTTATCCTTTGAACCACGAACAGTCTACTTCCAACCCAATTAAATGGTGAAAATAATTTTCCCAGGCAAGTCAGACCCACAATATGCAGACCTTTAAAAAAAATCACTTAAAAAATACATATGCCCCAGAAATTGTGTTTGGTGGGAGAATCACTGAGGTACAGGATGTTGTATTTAACCTCAGACAAGCATACATGTTCCAATTTCAGAAGCAGGGGTGGAAGTCAAAAACACAAACACCATCATCAATGCTCAACAAAGAGAAAACATAAAATGTCAGCAAATGTTTTTCAGATCTCCCTTGGCATGTTCACTCGGTATAAATTTAAACACATAAGAAACATGCCTGGCAACCCTACTGCTAACATGCAGCACTTGGAAGCCTTTCTGTCCCCAACTCAGATTGTTACTTGTATCATAATTAAGACAAAGTGATTAACAGAGGCAGCCTGAGTATAAGCCATTCATAGTATGCAAACAGATATACAGGGTTGTTGAACCATCAAAGTGTACACGAGGGTGATGATGTGAATGAATGCGCGGTAGCTACATGCCTAGTTCACAAAAATATCCCATTGTAATTCTCACCAAGACCTTCTGTCCTAGACAAAAGGAGAGAAAGCAAAATAGCAAATCAACCATCTAGAAAAATGTAATTCATAGAAATCAACTACGTAAAATGAATTATGACTAGAGATTTTACATAGTTAGAATGCATGTATGGAGGATCAGGAGAAAATAGTCTAGTTAAACAAAACACTCATGAGAGCTTAAAACCATACAGCATGTACTGCATTCAAAAGATCTGTACATGCACTGTTTTAGCTAAGCTTCAAATACAGTATTTAAGCTGTTATAATTATTATTATTTTATTTTTTGTGAATGTAAGCAATCCAGAGCTCAAGGTATGTGGAATGAATGCCCTGGAGCCCCTAAAAGTCAGTTCTGAGTCTAGGTGTCATGTACTTGGCAAAAAATCCAAAGTTACCAATATAGAGTGCCAAAAGAACAAGTGATACTACCTGGTCCTTTTTGTTTTTATTTTTGTTTTTTGTTTGTTTGTTTTGGTTTTTCGAGACAGGATTTCTCAGTGTAGTTTTGGTGCCTGTCCTGAATCTTGCTCTGTAGACCAGGCTGGCCTGGACCTCACAGAGATCCTCCTGGCTCTGCCTCCCAAGTGCTGGGATTAAAGGCATGCACCACCACCACCCAGTCTAACATCATCATTTCTTAAGGAAATTCTGCTATTGTAATTCGCATTGCCTCTTCCATAGTATCTACCATGTGGTTTTATAGAGCAAGTGATACTACCCGATCCTTTTCAAAGGCAACCCGTCATGGAAAACCAAAGCCAAGAGAGCATGTAATTGGCATTTGGGTTGATTTCTGTGATAAACCAACAAGAGTTTTCATAATGTGCACCTGAAATACTTCTGTAACAGAAGAATAAAAAGTGAAAGTCTAATAAGAAATCATAAAGAAGGTAATACCGAATCAAGAAGTGGCAGTACACACTTTCTCCTGTTAGTAATGAAAGAGCTAAGCTACAAGAAATTACGTGAATAATGAAAGCAGTGCGCTAGAAACTCAAGAGTACTAGGAAAGGGCACAGAAATATTATGATCACCATTTAAGTTAAGATACCTTTTGAAATTGCGATTTTTGGACTAGTGGATAATATAGAGTTTTAACACAAATAGAATCAACATGTAGATACTGCAACAGCCTGCATATAGTTCTGGCTAAATATACTAATATGTTCAGCGATATAGAAAATAATAAAAAATATTTTACTAAGAAAAGCCTTTAAACAATCATATGAGTATATAAAATAGAAAGCATGATTTATACCTGTTGGTAAGCCCAGTGAAAAATACCTGTCTTGTCCAGGTTTGAACTTAACGATACAATTGCAGATGTACTTTGCTGCCCATTCACTGGCCAAGTCATAGTTATCAAGAATTACAAGCCTCATTATTGGTGATGCACAGCTCTTAGCACAAGAAGTTCACACCTGTGAAAATCCCATGACAGAGTACTTTAGACATTTTCAGACACCCAGAGTGGAATATGTTAATTTTTAAAAGGACAGTACTTAAGGAGGACATGTACATATAAAAATAGAATCCATACTTATGAAATAGTAGTAACAACATTCTCCTTTGTCAAACAGGGCCCGAGCTTTTGGCAGTGGGTTAGGTCATTTAGAGGCATATATTAATCCTTATAACAATCTTGTAGTAACACAATGCTTAGTTTCACAGGAGGAAATGGGCATACACAATTTGCCTGTGGTCATGCAGGTGAGTGACACAGCAGAATTCAAAGTATAATATATACTCTTACCAAAGCAACCATCCTTAAAAAAATCCTTAAATCATTAACTACTATAATTTTTGAATTACTTATCAAAATCCAGAATTATCCCTATAAATACCATTATGATCAAATTTCCTTTTTGTGAAGCAGTATTTAAATACCACCAGAGATAATGTGCATTATCATTACTTACACACACACACACACACACACACACACATTTTAATACTTTAGGGTTTTAATAATAAGACCTTATTTGAGTGAAAGTGCTGACCTGGGGGAGAAAAATTCTTCATAGAAAAATACAATTTTAGTTATGAATTGCTTACTCTTTTTTTAAAAATACTTTTAAGAAGTATTATTTAAAAACTTCTATATTCTATATCCAAAATCCACAACTTTCAGATTTAAATGTCTAGTTTCATATTTAAATGTGTCAGTCCCCAACATCAACCCTTTAATGACATGGGGGCTTCAGCATTCCTGTTTGGTAACCACACGCTTCACACAGAATACTAAATCAAATGTTTAAGCTAACAGAAACAGACAGTCTCTTGACAAATACATAGAAACCAAATGATATTCTTAAGCACACGACTTAGAATTCCAAAACAACAAAAAGTCTTATCACTATAATCTAGAATCCTGGGACAATAAGAAATAAACAACATTTATGGAAAAGAAATCACAAAGCTTTTTAAAACTCAGCCTAACAAGTGAACCCCGTGTCCACTTAGGTATATCAATAAGCTAACACCAAAAATAACTTCAGAGTTACACCAAAAATCCCAAACAACTACTGGCTGTTATAGCTATCAAAATTATCTATTTACTTCTAATATGATTATGCAGCAAACAACCAGAAGAAAGAAAAAGGAACTGTAAGGAGAGGCATTAGATCTTCCTGGTGCCTCGGTTATCCCTTAGTATATCATATGTGCCCCGTTTGCGCTGGATTAAACACTGCTAGGCTCCACAGAAACAAATGTGATGATTAAGGATCCTGTTGCTAAAGGGCATTCGATCAACTTAATACTTCCTCAATTTGCGATTATTCTCAATTCTTGATGTAGAAACTAATTCAGAGATTCCGCAGAAGTTACAAAGCCATGTTGGAGTTTTGGAGGGAGCTAGACTTTAAGTGTATCTGGCACAAATATCCATGCATTAAATGTTTGATCCATTTGAAATCATTAATAACACCTGTTAAAAGACTCTGGGCCCCTCTCCTTAGCTCCAATAGCTCTCACACGCAGTCCAAGAGCCTGACAAGTATCATAGGTAATTCTTAGACTTGAGCTAAAATGAGAAAAGTTTCAAACAAGTCATTCAGACCAAAAGCTCGGGCAAGTTGTGAGTTTTCTCTTAGAGAGCAGAGTGCGCCTCCAAAATTCCTAAGTGAATTCCCCTCACGCAAGGTAATATCTTCTCTACATTTATTCAGATTTTTAAGACGCTCCTTTCCCAGGTTTTACAGTCATCAGAAACCGAAACTGTCGATGCTTTGTGACTCTGGCATCGTGAGCAGATAGCATTAAAAACGCTAATTAAATTCGGCTCCCAGGGTTTTCCTGCAGGTGCTGATTCATCTGGGCAGAGCATCCCCAGGAACAGCGTCTGAAGCCAAGTCCCTGAACTTTCTATGGGGTGGGAACTTCTACACCACCGAACTTCCACAGCTTTTTAACCCGTGGGCCCGCCCCAGAATCTACACACACACGGTGTGGTGTGCCGGTGTGCTGAGCTCCAGCAGCACCCACCGTCCCTCCCCGGGACCTCGGTCGGCATGGGTGATGTCCCTGTCCCTGGCGCCGCCGATGTCCAGGCTGCCCGCCCGGCCTGCGCACGCGGGGGAGCGTTCAGGATCAGAGCTGTCCTGCCCTGAGCTGCCGGTGCTGGCAGATGCTGGAAGCCTCCGGCGGCCCCACGGGGGCCGAGAGCACCCCCGGGTTCAGAGACGCCAAGCAGGGACGCCCCAGCCGCGCCCAACTCCGCACCGTGCCCGGGGGGCTCAGCGGCAGCGAGCCCCGCCCAAGCCCCGCATCGGAGCTGCGTTGTGTTCCCCCGACTCACCGGCACACCTACAGCCTCCTCAGACACCGGGACAGCGGTCGGGCACCAACGCACCCGGCTAACGGCCAGCGACCTCAGCTGGTGAGGAGGGATGAAGCCCGAGAACCCGGATGCAGACACAACCACAGGAAGGGACCCGGGAGGACGCTGCTGCGCAAGCGCAGTGCCCACGTCGATGCCAGGAAGAGTAGGCGCCACTCACCTGGGGCAGAACCACCTTTCCACCTGGGGGGTAGGGGGCCTGTGGGGGAGTCGTCAGTTCTTGGGGTACCCACCTGCTACTACTCTTTTTCATTAAGTCTTCCAGAGGTTGAACTGCGGTAGGTAGACTCCTTGTAGGCCTGTAATGCCCGCCCATGATAATGTGAACTATTTGATTACTACAATCACCCCAGTTGTTGAATAGTTACTGTTTTTGAGCATTTTAAAGTAGCTCCCAACTTAAAGGGACAAAGAAAGAATTTATTCTGGAGCCAAGCAGGGATGGCTATGGCTAGAGAACAAGATTCCAGTTAACCAAAATACTGGGTTCCAACGGAGCAACAATTTCATGGAGTTTTTTTGTTTTTTTTTTTTTTTTTTTTTTTTTTTTTTAAGCAACAGAACAAAAGCAAAATCATAAATCGATATGCGTTCCAGAGACGTTGGTGGAAACATCACATAGGCAGTTACAGCAGAATGGGAGATCTCTGCTTTGTATGCCAAATGCCAAACGCTTCCTGATGGCAGCCCTAGCCTCCGAGCTTCTGCCAGTTTGTTCTAAGAGCATTTTCCTTACTAGTCACGAGGATGTTAGGTCAGACATAAGGTAGGCAATAAGTGGTTATGTAAAGGGTTGAGACACCCCAAGATAATTTGGCTCTGGATTTACAACATTTCTACTTCCTATAATGACTGAGTTATAATCAGCTCTGAAGGTTTAAAACAGGTGCAGTGTACTTTTCTGAGAACTTAGTTCACACTTTTGAAAACACAGTGACTACTTTGAATCCTGAGATTCCATCAAAGTTAGGTCTGCAGAGAGGAAACCTGAAAACTATTATTGGAAGGAAACCCAAGAGGCTCTCAGGAAGGTACCTCAGGGGACTATAGTATTGTGTGAATTGTGCTGAATGATTCTCAGGGGTAGAGGAAGGCAACATAAACTTCGAATGGCTGTCACAGTTTTTTGTAAAGGAAAAAAATTACTAAGTAAGCAGCAGAAACAAGACAAAACAAAAGGAGAAACTTTTGTTCTCAGAATATTTCATTAAAAACTATTGAAGGCTCCACTAGGAGCAACACACTCACTACCAGCATTGGGTGGCAGGCTGGTTCAGCATCCTGTTTCCCTAGATACTCCAAATTTAAGATAAATATCGTGTGCTATTTCTGTAGACTACTGAAGTCAGGTACCCTCACTGTAAATCCAGACTGGGTCAAATAGCAGTCTTGGTAAATCCTCCCGGCAAATCGAGATGTTCTGCTCTTATGCGAACTCACAGAACAGTTACAGTATATTGACAGTGACAGTGTTTCTTAGGATCTCATTGATTTAAGCTGATTTTAAAAAGCAATTGTTAGCTTTTTTTCAGTACTATCAGCTTTTACCAAAAGGATTTTTATTGTGTATTTTTGCAGTGTTACTGGTGCACGAATAACATTTTTTAATTAGATTTTTCTCCTCCATGGTTTTTCCTAAGTGTTTTCAACCTTCTAACTTGTTGAAACTTGTTGTAGGAATCTAGTAGAATCATTGTACCTAGGGTAAACCTTAGAATGAAATAGTTGTTTTCACTGTATCTAGGGTAAACATTGTAATGAATAGTTGTTTTCCAGAAGCACTTTGACCTTGAAAAGTCATTGTGGAAAACATGGATTTCTGTTATCCATAACAGAAATAAATAAATAAATAAATAAATAAATAAATAAATAAATAAATAAATAAATACATCCATGATTTCTGTATCTATAGAGTTAGTTTTCCACAGGAAATTTGCAACCTTTGCATGACTTTGGTCACAAGACTATCCTGGCGCACCTGGAGCTCTTGAATTATTGGGTACTGAATACAATACACATTAAGGACTGAAGTGGAGGGTGGTAGTATGATGCTTTGCTTCAGAAAATATATAGATTAGATCAGGAACTTTGGTATGAGGAACTTGTTTACCCCAAAACCAACTTTTGTGTAACAATCAATAAATAAGCCTTTGCCTGGCTGTTTGAGGTTCAGTTCACAGAAACTGTTCCTCCCTCCTGCCAGAGGGCCTAAAATCCATCTTGGAGTGACACTCTCTCTTCTGATGATCTAGAGCAACACCAAACACTTGACATTCGGCGCCCAATGTTGCAGGCTCAGAAAAAAGAGGGATCAAGATACTCCAGGACTGAAGATAACAGTTGCTTCAAGACTCCAGGATTTGGTGGGGACATGGGAAATTTCCCCTCTCAGGAGTGGAAATATGTACGAATGGGAAGGCTCTTGAGACAAAGAAAAAGGCCTTTACCGGTGGAAGATGGGAAAGTGTTTAATCAAGAAAAAAATGGATCTCCCTGGCAGAAAAATGGGAAATGTTTACATTCAGATTAGTTGGAAACTGGTGGGGATGACAGATCTGAAGCAATTTAAAGAAGCAGTGGTGGCATATGGACTGCATTCATCCTATGACAGGCAGATTTTAAATAATTGGGCTACTCAAAATAAGATTATTCCAAAAGATTGGAAAAACTTAATGTCCGCTGGAACGCAGGGCTCTCTGGCTGCACCAGCTCTTTCAGCTAAGGGCCTGCCAGTGAAGAGTGGCAGCAACTGAGTTCCAAAGCAAGACTCGCTGAATTCCACACCTGTAGTATGAGGTAATACAGCTGTCCCAGAGCTTACAGTTTTGCTTGATTTTGTTTAAATTTTTTTTTCTCCCTTGTAGCAGGAATAACTCAATATTAAAGGTCCCTTACTGGGAATTGGTTTTGTTGTTGTTGCTTTATTTTTTTTTCTCTCCTAATAGCCTGAACAACTCAATATCTGCTGTGGGATGTTCTGTATGCTGTGAATGTGTTGCTCTGATTGGTTAATAAATAAAATGCTAATTGGCCAGTAGCCAGGCAGAAAGTATAGGCGGAACAAGCAGAGAAGAGAATTCTGGGAACAGGAAGGCTGAGTCAGGAGACGCTGCCAGCCACTGCGATGACAAGCAACATGTAAAGATACTGGTAAGCCACAAGCCACGTGGCAAGGTATAGATTAATAAAAATGGGTTAATTTAAGATATAAGAACTAGATAGCAAGAAACCTACCACAGTCATACAGTTTATAAGTAATATAAGTCTCTGTGTGTTTACTTGGCTGTGGGACTGGTAGGTGAGAGAGATTTGTCCTGACCATGGGCCAGGCAGGACCAGGAAAACTTCAGCTACAAATATCAATGGTCCCTTCATAGGTGAAAAAAATTAAAACAAGCCCAATCACAACTAGGGCATAAAGTACTAAGTCAATGTTGTTTAAATTTCCAGAGATATTAGTCATTCATTATATGGAGGATGTTCTCTTCTCTTGATCATCTAATTAATGTTTAAATGAATGTTTAATTTCTCATGGTAAATAAACTAAAAACAAAATTTATAACATCTTTGGGTACACTCTTATCTGTTTATCATGACTGAGGATTTGGCTTTGCTCTTTAAGCTACTTTCTAGAAACTCTTGGTTAAATTCTATAAAAATGTAACACTTGAAACAGAGAAGGTTATTGGCTTATCAAATAATGTGGCTGCTGAGGTGGTAGCTCATAGAAATAATCTCTTACTGCTAAGGAGCCTACAAAAATTATTTTTACACTAAATAAAATGCAAGTAAGTTGTTTGTTCCACACTGTTAACATTTGGCAAGTTGAATTAAAATATTACTTGAGAGCTATAAAAAAATCACCCTTTTAAGAATTTATAAAAATACTTCCTGGGTATTGCCTAGTCACATTTTAAAATCCTACACGGATGCTTTTAAACATGGCTCTTAACAAGCACAAAGAACATGTTTACACACAAATTCCACATGCTTCAAAAAAAGATAATACCCACTCTGGGTTATATAGCTCAAAAGTTTAACCTGGCTCTAATCAATCAGCTTTTAGTAGATATTTCTCAGCCATTGGATATTTTAACTGACCCTTCTGTTTATTTAAATTTAGATGATGGTTTATTGGATGAAGTAAGAAAAATCAGTCCTGTTGTCATAATGGATAGCTTTAGAATCTGTACTGGATGGTTTTGTGTGTCAACTTGACACAAGCTATAGAATCATCAGAGAGAAAGGGGTCACAGTGGAGAGGCTCTGTGAAATCCAGTTATTACAGCCTTTTCTCAATTCGTGAACAATGGGGAGGGCCCAGCCCATGGTGGTTAGTGCCATCTCTGTGTGGTTGGTCCTGGGTTCTATAAGAAGGTGGGGTGAGCAAGCCAGGGGAAGTAAGCCAAGAAGCAGCACCCCTCCATGGCCTCTGCATCAGCTCCTGCCTCCAGGATCCTGCCCTATTTGAGTTCCTGTCCTGACTTCTTTCAGTGATGAGCAGCAGACCAAATGAACCTTCCTCCCCACTTGCTTTTTTTTTTTGTCATGGTGTTTCTTTGAAGCAATAGAAACCTAACTAAGACAGAACCCCAGTTTAAATATGTATTCTTAAGGAAGACTGAAGCTCAACATTAACTGACCTCATATATAACTTAGCACATGAAGGCTAGAGATGCAGTGAGAATGGAAAGCTACCTAACAAGAGAAAAAGGATGTTGCAAAGGGATTGTAAATGCACAAAGGATGTAATAAAAGGAAACATTTGATATGAGGTACTTGAGAATGGAGTTTTTGTCCCATGTTCTCTAAAGACTGATGATGTTTGAACATCCTTTTCTGTCATTAGTGGCTGTTTCTACATCTGCTTCAAAGAAATATCTTCTAAAATCTCATGTTATTTTTTTAAATTATGATATTTTCTTTATTTCGGGTTGTAAGAGGGTTTTGTTTATTTGTTTGAGACAGGGTCTCACTATGTATTCCTGGATTGTTTGAGTCTGTGTTTTAGAACAGACTGGCTTCAAACTCACAGAGGTAAGATGCTTTTGCCTTCCATATGCTGATATTGCTAATTGGTGCCACTATACCCA